TACTAGAATATAATCCTTATTTTCAAATATTATCAAAAAAATTTTTATTTAAATATTTTAAATTTTAAAAAAAGTAAGTCATAAGCAAATTTACCAGGCAAATTTGCCTGGAATTGCCTATAGTTTAAGGGATAACTAGTAATTGATAATGTTTTTTGCCAAAAAATTTTTAAAAAAATATTTTTGAAAAAAAATTTTTAAAAAATTTTTAAAAAAATTTTTTTGGCAAAAAACATTATCATAACATTACAATTACTAGTTATAAGCCCATTATGAAGAAAAAAAATATTATAAAAATGTTTTTATAACAACTTTTTTTTCAAAATCATTTTTATAATATTTTTAAAATATTATTTCTTTATTATAAAAACAGATACAACTTTTTGTAAGTTTCTGTAAAGTAAATTCACTTAGCAACAGATTTAGTCTTTTTTTTTCCAATTGCACAGATTTAATCTTATTTTTAAATTCTCCATTGTTTCTAAATACTTTTTCATGTTTTGTTTTACATATTTTATACCCAAAGATTCAACTGCTTCATTATATACTAAGAAATTGTCTGATCTAGTTACATTTATTGAATATGTATAATATAATAAAACTTGTAAATCATGATCATTGCCAACTTGGGCTAAATAGTAAGTAACAGATTCTGAATAGTTACTTTGACAAGCTACTGCAAACAGAGGTGCAAAAGTATATAGACTATAATATTGCATATGATGATTTCTATATCAAATTCTAATTTTATGACAAACCCAAAATCCTGCCTATTTAAAAAACTAATATCAAACTTTTAGAACATTATTATTTCCAGATTATATATCTTTTAAATTTATTTTTTTATCTTTTATATAAGCCATAGCACTACCTACTAAGGCTCAAATTAATTCAACTACTCTACATGTAGCTTTATAATCTATAACTTTTCAAGTTTTTCTAGATAAGAAATGCCTAGGCTGGCTGCTAATTGATATATGCCATAGCCAGAGAAAACTGTCAATAAAGTATTTAATATATATTTATTTGTATGCTAGCCACCAAGTAATAACTGAATTTCAGGGTTTGCTGTACACAATGAGACTAATCTATGAAATATTGCTTGATCAGCAGAAATATCTAAAAATTTATTTTGCCCAACTCCAACATCATCAAAATACATATTTATATCTTGATGAATATTTAAATCATTATATAGACTATTGTCTGGCTTTAAAATAACAATATTCAGTTGTGATATTTTACAGCCTATAGATATATTTTTTCGCAATTCAGACCTTATATCAAAAATATCATAATTCTGCTACTTGTTATCAACAAATAAACGAAATGTTTCTTCAAAGTTTTGTATTTTTCTTCAATAAATGTTAATTGCCCAATCTGAATGTAAGAAATTCATTATTATAAGATTCTATTATACTAGTTATAGCTTTTGGAAATCAGTATTAAAATACTATTCTAAGTGTAGCATGGGCTGTTTTTTTTGCAATATTATTATAACTAAATATACTTTCTTGAAAATCAATATTGTCTACTATGCAAATATTCTATATATTTTCACCTTTCTATAATTTTTTATCTACATCAACTTTTTCATGACACTGCTTTTCTAAATATTTTTCATATCTATTAGTATAAGCTAAAACATTAGCTATACATAATATAGTATACAATGAAGTATACAAACAAGGTTCTGGCACAGTGAACTAAGCATATGAGTAAACCAAAGATTTAATTCTGGAAATGTGATTGAAAATAATACAGAACTCAAAACCACAACAAATTTTTTTGTATGTGTTACATTATAGTTTTTTTCTAATGTTTCTTTCTTTTTTTTGCTTTTTTAATACTACTTTCTATTTATTTTATTGTATAGTTTTAATAAAACTATCAAAAAAATCTAAAAGTATTAATAGAAAGCTATCTTGATACTCTTTTAAAGAACTTGGCATTTCTAATTTTTCTTTGTTTGTTCAAATTTCTGGTCTAGAGTATCAAAGTAATGTTGCCAAAGCTTCACCTATTTGCCTTGGATTCTTTTTTACTATATCACAAAATGTTTTACAATTCAAAAATTTTTGAATATTAACCTTTTTTAGTCTAAATATAATTTTAATTCCTAAAAAACTTGAAGGTTTTGAAATTATAGTCTTATTTTGTTTGTCTGAATTTTCACTAGCATCATTATTATTTTGTTCTCTATTGTTAATATCTTTATTTTTAATAAATTTTAACTTTTCAAAAAATGTCACAATCCCTTTAAAAATCTCATAAAGAAAAAGACACTAAATATTTTTTTCAACTAAATCTGACATACTATCTATCCATCTTGCCAAAAATTAAATCAATTTTGCAGAATCATTGTAATGTTAATTAGTACAATTATATAAAGAATTTTTATCTTGTTCTTGTTGCTTAAATACATGTCCACCTTCTGATGCAAAACATGATATACAAATATATTTTATACACTTAGTGCTAAAAGATTATTTAGTAAAATCATTCTCTTGAAATACAGAACAATTATTTAATCTATTACAAACTATTTGTATATTTTAGTAACATAGTTTTCAAGAGTGTTTTCTACAATAATCTCCATGATTAAATATATACTTATCAGATCCACAAAATAAATATTTTTTTTGATAAATTAATGATTTTTCAATGCTAACTTCTGCCTTTTGAAATGTATACAATTGTTTATTGTCATAGTTAAAATGACTAGTACAAATTTCTAATGAACTAACTTTTCTGGCACCATTGCAATTTGATTTACAGTATCAAAATCCAACCCCCAGACCCCTCCAAGTTGCCTTAGTAGCTTAGATACAAATTCTAGACATCATTTTAATGTTCCTTTTATATTATCAATTATAATACATGTAACATTAATATATTTAGCCTTTACTAAAGTAAGTTCAATATCTAATTCATTTTCTTGATAGTCAGCTCCTTTTTATAAAGATTCACTATCAGTTGTTATATCAAGTTCTGGTAATAACTAATTTTTATCATCTTCATTATATTGTTCATGTATTATTTGTAATATTGAATCAGCATATGCTTTAGCTACATCTATAGCCATATTATCAAATTGAAGATTATATAAATTATCATATACTTTATTATCTATATTATTTAAACTATATACAGATGATAAAGAGAACATGGTTGGTTGATCAAGGCTTTCAAAGCTGTCTCCAATACTAAAATCATTTAGAATTTCAAAATCCTTATTAGGATTATTACAAACAATCTCTCCAATACTCTTGCCATTTAGAATTGAGTTATTCATATTTAAACTCATAATATAAATTGTATTTTTTCTTATTTCAAAGGTTTAATATGGTGGCTGAAATAAACAAAAACTAACACAAAGTAACACAAAGATGAAACAAAAATGAAGCCAATAAGCCTAATATAATTACTAAAAACTAAAGCAAAAAAAAGCTTAATACTATCACAATAACAGAAATGCAAAAAAAAAAAATGATAAGTGAAATTATATACTAAAAAAAGGTTATTCTAGCAATTATAAAGGATTATTATATTCAAATTGTTCACTCATATTATAGCAATAATGGTTTTTTTTGAGCAATTAAAGCTATGATTGCTATGTATTACATATAAAAAGTAAGTAAAAAACATTGTATAACATTATTGAATTGTCTTACTTTAATTCAAGATTTTTTAAAAGCCAACTATTTTACAAACTGTAACTTCATAAATAACCAAATACAAGACTAAAGCTTATATTTTTAATAAGCGCAGCAAAAATATTCAAAAAAAAAGTAATTTCCACTTGAAGAGAAAAAAAATGATAAAATTTATTGTGTAGTACAAAGAATTTATATTAGAATACAGAACCCCCCTGCAGCATGAAATATCCAATGACTGATATGGGTACTGTTTAATAAAAAGGAAAGAGATCTACTTTTTGACTACTGTATAAACCTGAAATAATACGCAAGAGTGTAATTTTAATTTTCAGCCTAAATTAGGCTTAATTCAAGCCAAGATTCAAAATAACGCCCTTGTATATTATTTTGGGTCTATATGGTGAAAAATTTTTATTGGCTCATTAAATAAAGCATAACCAGATTTATAATTATTATTAAAAGTTAAATTATACTGGCTTAATAATTTTTTGAGTTTTACATATGATCTTATTTACATAGTGAAAAATTAAAAATCACATGATTATACAATTGTTTACATCACATGGCTTATATAAATAAAATTGATCTACATTGTATGTCACCAGATAATTGTTGTGATCTACAAAAACATGATTTTCTCAAAATTTTTGATCAAATTTAAATGGAGATTTCTCCCTTTTTTACTGAACAGCGCCTATAGACATAGTTGATTAATGCCAACCCAAATTTTTGAGTTGCCTTGTAATATCTTATATTATAGGATAACTAATTTGTTGAAATTTATTGTGAATAAAGATAAAGGGATTGCTCTAAAAAGTTATAGTTCTGTATATACCCGCTACAAGTAATAAATAGTAATCGTAAAGGGATGCTTTGCAAATATAATCATTACTAATGTTGCTTGTGTACCGTATTTTATTTACAGAAGGCTGCTGAAAATTTTAAATATTGATTTTAATGCTCTGAACTTCATTTAATAGTGTTTTAACAATTGTACATAACTAAAAAATTTTAAATAGGAACTTTTTGAACATTGAAATATTCATCATACAAACTTCTTTAGTAATTCATTAAGATAAACTGACTGAAGTAAGAGAATATCTAAATATAAAATATTATTTAAAAATTTTGCGTTATAAGATTCTTACATAAGTGATTTGGAAGTTTATACTTGTTTTACCAGCTAAGGCTGTTCTCAAGCATCTAAATCAATTGATCAGATAATAATCGTGATGACGCTCAAGCATCACAATTGATGACGATATTTAAGAATTAAATGCCTGAGCATACTTTTTGTTTAAAGTTTCAGCTTTAGTTACGTCGGTTCCTCCTTTTAATGATTTTAACAATTTAAATTTCTATACTATCCGTTAAATATGGAAAAACATATACCAAAACCTTTCAGTTTTAGGTCTTCTTTACTGAGAAGATTTTAAATTTAAATTAGTGAAAAATGGAATAGCAGTATTCATTATAGTTTATTAAAAGTTAAAGGATGGATCGTATCTATTACATTCGTATCAAGGTATCGATTATTTGTTTTAAAAGCTTCAAACAAATAAAATAAAGTGGCTATCTTTTAGACCGGTTAAAAATTTGTTAAGAATTAATTGTTTATTATGTCTGATATGTAAAAAAAAGTAAAAGTAATGCTTGAGCGACCTTTATCAATGGTAAATTTTTGAAGAAAAAAGGTGGGTTGTGTCTCGTTGATTTGTTCATCGAAATGGTAACTCACTTAGTTAATTTATTCAATTTCCGACTAATTAAAAATTTCCTTCCGATCCATTGAACGAAGTGCTTGAGAACACCCTAAGATATTATGACATGACAAAGACGCTTAAGTAAAATCCAAATTCAAGAAAGACAACTACGGTAAGCCTACATAAAGGGTGCGATTTCATAGTTATCTAAATAGTGCACAAAGTATTATGACGTAATTTTGGCTATTGCCATAACATTTTGGATAAAGGTCAATAATACAAATGACGATATTATTGAGATATGCTCAAACATTGTTATTACTATGATTTTTTAATAATTGTAGTAATGCTCAATTGCAACGATGGGGTCAAATAAAGATCTCAATCACAAATTGAGAGGATTCTAAATAGTTTATCGAAAATTTTACAAAAAATATATGTCGGTAATGAAAATCCATGCTAAAGTATGAAAATACTTGAACAATACTTTGTTAATTTTAATATTTATAAAGTTTTGATAAGTCAGGGCAAAAAAAAAGGTGGTTAGGGATAAAAAGTTTTTTGACTGAAATAGCAAACTCACTGTACATTTTTTAATATTTAAAATTTTATTTTCACATAATAAACTACCTCATTTATCTTAATGACATTTACTTTCCGTTAATTAAAATTTAATTCCCGACGCATTTTTGACATACTTTGCTCCATTAATCGAGGCGCTTAAAATAAATTTCAAATTGTACACTCGTAGAAAAAATATTTACCTTTTAATTCTTTTACTTTTTTCAGTAACGTGCATATATCCAAGGTGAAGATATTTCAATTTCTATTGATAAATGTAAATTTACGGATTGTAGATAATACGCGTTTTATCTAAATTAGGTGGGTAGGTCGCGTAGGCCTATTTAAAAAATTTATTTGAAAATTAATAGCATTTTCATTTGGTATTTAAATATTTGTAATAATATGTATTATGGATACAATACCGTCTAGATAAACAATACCAAAATTAAATCCTCCAAATCTCCATATAAAAGATTATTAATGAAATTTGATAACAATAACTATACAAATTAAAATACTTGTTAAGACTGCATTCCAACATCAGTCAATTTCGTTTCTAGATAATGAAAAAAAAAAGTAAACCGAGTTTCAATAACTCGAAATAATTAATGAAATGAAATTCATTATTTAAATCTGACCTTTTAGCTCCATCAAGGTGCATAACTTTCGAATCAGTTACTTTTATAAAACCAATCAGGCTCATTTTACTAATGGTGTCGTAACCTTAGCTAACGTGAAGTCAAATTAGATAAGGTTATTCGGGATGAATGTTTAAAAAGGATTCGGATTTAATGATAGTGGATTTATCAATGAATGTATTTTAGTTGGTAGGTAAGGTCAAAATATGTTATACTTTATTTTTTATGCAACATGCAAAATTCTTTCAAACTACCTCTAGCTTTACTAGTTTAGGCGTCGTATTTATGCGTATAAAATAGCTGTGGTCTGAAACCAAGATCTATGGTCTCAAACCAAGATCCGCGGTCTCAACCACGATCTGTTGTTTTAAACCCTGATCTCCTACATATAACCACTTCATAATGAAATACAGCAAAAATATATACTTGGAAAAATTTAACAAAAATTTTACAACAATAGTAATTCTATAAAGAACATATAATAAGATTATAGACACTTAAAAAAAAAGTAACATCTAAATTTATCAGATTTGTACTCTACAAATGTAAGTTTTATTGGCTGGAGCTGAGGGAAACGAAGTGGAAGCTTTAAAGCCATACTCTACGATTTTTTAGAAATGTCCGGTTCCCGGTTCGGCTGGTCCTGATTTGGGTTCGGAATCCGAAAATTGAACCTAAAATTAGGTTCGATTTTGGATACTAAATGTTAATTTAAAATGTAACTCCTGACTTTAAATCATTGTAACAAAAATAACAGAAAATTTTTTAGCAAACACATTGAATAAGAACATTAAATAAAATTAAATAAAATAAAATTTTAAGCTGACTTTTAAATACATGGGGTGGGTAAAAAAGAATTTTTATACAAATGCATAAATCAAATAAATATGTATTTTTGATCGCAAGCACGTTAGATAAAATCAACTATTTGGTACGAGGTGAAGAAA